CGTGATGCCCCTCTGCCATGCTGCTCTGGCTTATGGCCAGAGTGCCAGGGGCTGAAACCTCCAGGAACTATGAGCTAAACAAACCTTTCTTTCTTGAACTTGTGTCAGATATTTTGTCTCAGCAGGGAGAAAAGTAAATAAGACACATATGAATATGCATGTAAATGCATTAATAATAGAAATCGCACTCTGTAAATTGTACTATATAAATTCTTTCTCCTCCTCCTCCTTCTTCTTTTTCTTGCCTCTGAGCCTCTCTTGGTCAGCTTCTTCTGTCTCCTACAGCGCTCTCTCTCTCTCTCTCTCTCTCTCTCTCTCTCTCTCTCTCTCTCCTGTTAAAATTCCTCTCCCCTTCTCCCCTTGTCTTTACTTTGCTCCATCACAGTGGCTGGTTCTCAAGACCACCAGGCTGTTTTCCGCCTCAGGTCTTGGCATTTTCTGCTCCCTTGGCCTGAGAGCTTTTCCTTCCAATCTCCTAATTCCCTCTCTTCATTCGGTTCTCCATTCAAATATAATTTCCTTCTCGATGGTGGCCTCTGCACCCTCTTCAGTCAGCCCACGGCTCACTTCCTTGCCTAGCTCATATCCAATGATCCTCTCCCCCCTCTGATTGTGGAAGGACAGGGAACCTCACAGTCTGCAGTGTGTAAGGTTGGCATTTCTCCCTTTCCCTTTCGTCTGCCGCCTACCCTGCACCCTGTAGTTGAATTGCTTGCCACAGCTCTACACCCAACGCCATGGATCTGTCCTTGGTGCTGACCTTAACCTGGGAAGGGCGGGCCTCGGTGGAGAGGAGGAGGCTGTCAGACTCCTGCTTCGCATCCTCTGCATCACTGAGAAGAGCTCTGAGTGCTCCAGGGAGGGCATGGCTGGGTCACTGTGAGTTCAGTTGCATTTGTTTATCCATTTGCTAATCTTGCATACCTGAAATTCATCTGGCTATGCTGTGGAGCGTGGCTTTGAACTCCCAGACGCTAGCCTCAGATTTCCGAGTAACTGGAACTACCAGTATGTGGCACCATGTCCACCTAACAAACAACCCTTTTTTCTATTCTAGGACTGGAACTCAGGGTCTTGGACATGCTAGGCGAGTGCTCCACTAAATTCCTCAATTGCTTTTGCTTTTTACCCCCAGCACTAAGTATTGAGCCTAGGGCCTTCGCACTGAGCTACATCCAAATCCTATAATTTTAATTTTTATTTTGAAACATGGTTTCACTAAGTTGCTAAATTGCCTGGGCTGCGCTCAAACTCTCAATCCTTTTCCACCTCAATACTCTAGAGTGCTGGGATTGGGGCATGTGCTATCACACCCAGCTGCAAAAGCAGCCTCTGCCTACTTCTTGTGTTATTTTAATGCAAATCCCAGACATGGTGTCATTAACTATGGCTGTATTTAAATATTTTCTCTTGTTGATTTATACATGGTAAAATTAACAAATCTTAAGTATGCAGATTGGTGCAATTCTACCTATTCATGGACATAGGTGACCACACCCTCAATCAGGCTATCTTCATCTTCAACTCTCTCTCTCTCTCTCTCTCTCTCTCTCTCTCTCTCTCTCTCTCTGGTTTTTGAGGCACAGTCTCCCTCTGTAGTTCAGGCAGCCTTAAACTCCTTCTGTATCATACAGTGGTCTGCAACTTGTGCCAATCCTCCTGCCTCAGCCTCCTGAGTGCTGGGATTACAGGCATAGTCCATCACACCCAAAACCAACACGTTCTCTTATGCCCCTTTCCAAGTAATACACCAGAGAAAACTGGTGTTCTGATCTTTCTCCTCAAAGTTAAAAAGCCAAATACCAACCAGGCCTGGTAGTACACTCTGCAATTACAGCTGTTGGGAAACTGAGGCGGGAGGCTCACAAGTTCAAGACAGACCTGAGTAACTTGGTGAGGCCTTGTATCAAAATAAAATAACAGCTGGAGATAGAGTTCAGTGGGAGAGCACTTGTCCAGCATGCATGAGACTCTGACTTCAGTAGCCACTACCGCCACACACACACACAAAAAGGTCAAAGTGCAAAAGCCCAAAGATCTGACCTCCAGCGTCCACTTTGCTTCTGGCACTTTTAATTTTTCTTTTTTTATTGGTATCAGGATCGAAGTCATGACTTTACATTTGCCAAGCAGGCACTTATGCAGCTGAGCTAAACTCCTGGCCCCTGCTTCTGGCACTTTTTAAAATGGAACATGCGATAGGTGTTAAAATCCCATAAAACAGTGAGGTAAATTTTGGACAAATTATAGCAAAGTCTCCACGGAGTTACAAGGCATCCCGAGAAGGAAAACTGCCCTGGGTCCCGCTTGACATCAGGTCCCCTTCCCACTAACCTCACACAGAAAGAGCTCCTCCTAGCCCACGTTGCCTTTCGGCCTGCAGCTTTTTAACACTGAGCAGCCCTGACTTCGGGGCCAGGAGTGGGAGACCCATCAGCCTCCCCTCTGGCCTCTCCGCCTCCCCTCGGCCCGCTGGCTTTCATCAATCTCTCTTTCCCTAAGTCCTCCCCTGGCTCCCCACCGATTGCAAAGGAAAGCTCAGAAACTGTCCTGTGTGACGTGCTGGCCCTCCCTCTTTCTCCTCCTCATTCTCGCCTTTACACAGCCCCCACGCCTCTGTGCAGATTCCTCCTGCCAGGAAGGCCTTTCCTCCTGCTTCTTGCGGGTCTCCACGTGTTTAGATCTTCCTCAGACACTCATTCCTGGCAGGAGCCCTCTGGGAATTCCCCTTGGGCATTCCTGTTGTCCTTCATACTTCTCACTTTGTGTTTTCCCAGCCTTGAGCCTCCAGGTCTGTGACTGGCTTTTTCCAGACCGGGAGGGCGGGGCCGGGGCTGGCGGGTTTCTGGGTTTCCGGACTCACCAACCCAGAAGAACAGGCTGTAAAGGTCTGTGACCGCCCCGTGCTCTCTACCCTGTGCTGCTTATTACTCCCGCCTCCTTCCTGCCAGCTTCTTGCCATCCGACCACGCAGGCTGGCCCCTCTGCCTGGAACACTGTCCCCACGCTGCCCACCTCAGGACCCTTCCCCCTGCTGGCTCAATCACCTCCCTGCTCACTGTCAGTTTCTCTGGGGGCTGTGGCCACCTGGACCCTAGGCTGTGTCACAGGTCAGTCAAGACCTCTTCAGGGGCAGGGGTCTCCAGGATTGCCTAGCATAGAATGATGGATGTCTTTCTATACTACCACTCAGCCCCCTATCCAACATCTGTGGCCCCCCGAATAGAAATGGAAGCTGGGCGGATGAAGTGCTCCCCTTATTCTTCCCGTTGCCCCCAACTATCCCTCCTCAAGACTGCAGAATGTCTTCTGAGCGTGGAACTCACCACAGAGTGAATGACCGCGCAGGTGGGCTGTGCCCATGGGTTCCCCTGGTCTTACCTCACACCCCATCGCTTGAAGCAGCCCATGTGACAAACCCATGAAATAACTTAGTTATGGCTGCTATTGGGTCCACAGCCTGTGAGGATGGGGTTCCAACTTACAGGATGCAGCATCTGCTTTGAGTCAAGGACAAGTATTCAGTGCTGTCTCTTCCACACCTTATCTAGGTACCAAAAAAGTAGCAAGGGCTCCTTTCTGGCTATGCCTAAATGTCCCCTTGCAGAAACCCTGCTTCCGGCCACGACTTTGAGCTCTGCCAGTTTGGTGGTCTCAATTCCCATGGAAAGAATCCTAAGACACAGCAGTGATTCCACTGAATTGGAAGATGAAGCTGCCATCTGGTCATTTTGGGGTTCTCAAGTTGCTGAATCAACAGAGAAAGAGAATCACCCTATTTTATGGAGTTATTGATCTTGGTTTCCAAGGGGAATGGCTGACTGCTACACAGAGAGGTCAGGAAAACCATGTCTGGAACCCAAGAGCATCTCTTTGAAGTTCCTCATTCACTAGAAAAAAGGCAGGGTCACTATCTCAGTCTGTTTTACGTTGCTATACCAGAATACCTGAGACTGGGTAATTTGTCAAGTATAGGAGTCTATTTTGGATCACGGTTCTAGTGGCTGGGAAGTGCCAGCATCTTGGGCTTCCAATGAGGATCTCACCCTGCTCCAGTTCATGGCAGAAACTGGAAGGACAAGCCAGTGCACACGGAAGATGTGAAATATGGTGGGGTGGCCTTGCTTCTATCAAGGAAGCCATGTCAGCCAGAAAGGTGATTGGGTCAGTGCGTGGTGGATCCTGATGCAGTGTGTACACATCCGGGTTTTGTAAACTGGACTCGTTTCTATACTACCACTCAGCTCCCTAGCCAAGACCTGTGGCGCTCCGAATAGGAATGGAAGCCGTACTCATCAGTGCATGAGGTCAGGAGATGAGCCCTCGGGAGGTGGGGCCGCTGGCAGGTGAGTCACTGGGGTGAGACTGGAGGCTGCTCCCTTTCCTCTCTGCCTGCTGGTTGCTATGGGAGGGGGCAAATATTCAGGCCAAAGCAGGGTGCAAATCTCTTTCTTGCTCACTTCAGTGAGTTGTTGGAGGAAGGACGAGAAAGAGTATCGCAAGGCAGGTGCACATGAGGACCTGCTGTCGGACCCCATTTGTGTGGCGTCCCCATGCCCATGCCGGTGTCTCAGCCGCCCTGCATTCCTGCCTGCAGACCTCTGTCTGGGCTGAGGCCTCCACCTGGGACATCCCTCCTCCTGCTTCTCTTTGCCAGCTCCTATTTATCCTTTAGGATCTCTGCTCAAGATTTTCCTCCTCCAGGAAGAGATCTGCACAGGTCTTCCGGGCTTGCCTTGTGTGTGTTTCTGCCAGATGACTGAATGCATCTGTGTCTGGGAGACGGGCTTGCTTAGGGGTTCCTGGGGCTGGGAGTGGGACTTCTGGGCCTCCATTCACCTGTTACTCAAGCTCCAGCCATGCAGCCATGGCCTCGTCTCCCAGTTTGCTTGTGGGTAGCATGGGCTTATGACAGTGGCGCCCTTATACTGGGCAACTTCTGCATCTTTAGTGTTACAAGAGATCTCGTTAAGCCTCCCCACAGTCACCGGAAAGCAGGCTGTCATCATGACAGACTTTACTTTCACCTCCACCAGACAGGTGAGGAGAGGAGGCACAGAGAGTTTAAACACTCTTCTGCTGGTCACTCCGGCAAAAAGGGCAGAAGGACAGAGCTGGGATCCCACTCCCCAGGCAGCCCAGTTCGAGTCCAGCCTCTCACAGGAAACAGCATTCTGTGCCACTCAGGAAGATGCTAGCAGAGACACTGTGTCACTCGTCCTGTAGCCGTGACAGGGAGAGCCCAGGAGACCATGTCATAGCCATATCAGGACTGCTCCTCAGGTGGGCAGGACATGAGTGACTCTCCACCCCCTGGGACACAGGGACGGTGCCCAGTCTCTTCCAGACCTGCTGACCAGCTGCAGGTGGGGTAGGGGTGGGGAGGCAGGAGAGAGGGACGTGAAGGACCTTGGGCCGAGGGACAGGCATGCCCTCTTGTTTGCACAGCATTCTCCGCTGACCCATGACACAGGCTGACACAGTGAGCAGGAGGGGCAGGCACCCGCTCCAGTGTCCTCTACCTGGAGAACCCCAGGGGTCCTCCAAGAGCGCTGGCCAGCAGGGCAGTTGTGAGGAGCAGGGCCAGGGTGTGGGGTGCCTGGAGTGGGGTGGCGGCCGCAGCTGTGACGTTCAGGGAGCCCCCATTGCACAGGTTGCCTTTGCAGCATTCACCCTGGAGTTCAATGGCTGTCCAGGGACTGGTGGAGCCCTCGACGATGCAGGAGGGCCGGTGGCAGGTTCGGATGTACACGGGGACTGAGAAGTTGCCTGGGTCGGGCAGTGAGCAGGGGTGAGACCAAGGAGGCATCTGTGCCCAAACTTCCACCTGAGACACCAGGGCCAGGCATCTCCTCTCCAAATACACCCAGATCTCCCGAGACCAGGGCCCCGATTGCCCTCTCCGGTGGGCCTGGCACTTCTTCCCTCAGCCTTGCCTGACCTCCACGTCCCTTACCCAGCCCTTCCACCTCTCCAGCCCCTCACCGGTGTTCATTCGGCCACTGCCCTGGTAACAGACGCTCTGGTCCCCATGACACCGCACCAGAAGGGATTTTTCCAAGGAGCAGTCTTCAGGGTGCATCCCCAAACACATGTAGCATTCCGTGCCGCTGAGCGTCTGTGGATTCGGGGCTGCCAAAAAGTGGGTGGTTCACACGTTTAGCCAGCTGTTCCTGCACGGTAGTGTGGGCTGTGCATTTCTTAGCCCAGAGTGGAGGCTGGAGTGCTGGCTTGGCTGGGAGCAGGTGCCTAAAGAAGGCTGCACCCCACCCCACCCCGCACACCTCTGCTCAGGTCCGGGATGCTGTCGTGGGTCTGCAACTTGGTGTTACACAGGTCCTCCTTGCAGCCATGCACCTCTGTGTAGTCAGGCGGCAGCGCCATCCAAGGAGACTCTACCCTGCCGATCTTCTGGCCCTCCCAGCAGCCCTTCTGCAGCACGGTCAGCGGCCTGCGGTACCCTGGGGGGCGGCGGGAGGCGGGGCCTGGTGCCGGCCTCTGGGTCCCTGGCTCCTGCCTCCTCCTGCTTCCATCCTTACTCTCCGCTCTACTCTTTCCTCCTCACCTCTTCCTGACCCTCCTCCCCTCCCGCCTTCCTCTCCTTCCATCCAGCCTTACCCTCTCTCCTCTGTTTCCGCGGCCCTGGCGATTGTGACTGAACAAAAGTTATTGCACTGAGCTACATCCCCAGCCCTTTATTTTTATTTATTTTCAGACAGGGTCTTCCTAAATTGCTAAGTTGCACAGGTTGGACTCCAGTTTGTGATCCTCTTGCCTCAGCTTCCTAGAGTGCTGGGATGACAGGCCTGTGCCACCCCCCCTTCCTTCCACCAAAACCCCCTCCTTTTCTGGCTCCTCCTGCTCCCCTCCCCCATCCCTGCCCCTCTCCCTCCTTCCCATTCCTCCTTCGCTCCTCTCTTCCACCTCCTCACCAGTGTCCAGGGACATGATGACCTCTGAGCATGCGTGTGGGCAGGAGATCTTGGGGAGCTGCATGTTACTGATGTCAAAAGGTCCGGAGTAGACGTGCTCTATGCTGTAGCACTGCAGGGCTCGGGACCCTGGGGAGGGACCAGGGTGGTCAGCCGGCTGGTGAGGCGTTGAGCCTGTCCCAGACGCATGACTGGGCCTGCTGGTGACAGCCAGGCAGCCAGTGCAGTCTGCTCTGCAGGATCCAGGTCTGCTCGCCCTGGAGTAGCGTCTGCTGCTGTGGCTGGTTATGGCTGCGGCTGCTTCATAGCTGAGTAAAGGACTCTGCAGCTGCCCGTCCAGTTTCTGCCTCCAAACTGTTCCAGCTCCCCACCCTCATCCAGGGAGCCCTCGGAGATGGTGATAAGAGAGTCGGAAAGGATGAGCAGAGTGGGAGGAGTGATTCACACCCTCCGGCTCTGTCCGTCCCTTCCCGTATGAAACTCTCACAAGGCACAGTGGCACTGAAAGACAGTGGCTGGGACACAGGGCGCTCCAAGGGCAGAGTGAGCTGCGAGCCTGGCCACAACATACAGACTTAGTCAGCCCAGTAACACACGCACAGAACGTTTGCACACGGACACAGTGCAAGCCACCACGACCAAAGCAGCTCCTGCTGTGATCACAGACACCCAGCAGGACAGCCATGCAGGGGTCTGCATTGTCACTCAAGGTCCTCACTGGGCCCTGCGGGGTGGACGCCCAGTACCAGCCCCAGCCCCAGCACCAAGCATGCCGAGGTGGGTCCAGGAGGAGAATGTCCCATGTGTGGTGACAGTGACGGCATGCAAAGGGACCTGGAAGCACATCCAGAGAGAGTGAGATGGAAGCAGTGAGACGCGGAGACAAAGAACTGCAGACTCGAGAAACACGCAGGACCGGAGGTTTAGCTCAGCGGCACAGTGCTTGCCTGATAAGCGCAAGGTCCTGAATTGATCCCCTGCACCAACAGCAACAACAACAAAGCCACAAACACATAAAATTAGAGACGCATTGGAGATAAGACCATAAAAATAAAATTTAGTTTAAAACCATTTATGGATACAAAATATGTACAGACATGCAATGCAGATATACATAAAGGAAAGCACACATTAAGTACTCAGACAGACATCCCAAACCAGAGGTACAAAACACACAGCGTTACGTGTTCACTTTTTACAGAGAAAATGAAGTTCAGAGGTAGATAGATCCACTAAAGCACTTTCTTACACCCGGACACCGAAATGTGGTTCAGAGAAATGCATACCAGCAAGGAGCTTCACAGGGACACCCAGACACACACAGCAAGCAAACTCCTGCAGACGTGCACCTACATAAAAATTCGTTGTGTGCAGGAAGACAGATGCAGGCGAAAATGACAGACGGAGGAACCAGGTGTGTGTGTGTGTGTGTGTGTGTGTGTGTGTGTGTGTGTGTGTGTGTGCAGGGTGGAGAAATGAAGTACACACAGTTTCTAGTGCTTTCCTCATCAAGACTCAGAAGTTTGAGCCCCTGGTCCCTCCTCCCTCAGACCCAGGGATCCAGGCCAGGCCTCCTCCCTCTGATCCAGGGATCCAGGCTCAGCCTCCTCCCTCAAACCCGGGGATCCAGGCTTTTCTTACTATTGCGCTCAAATTTGAGGTACCTGGTAGACAGAGCAGCATTATTCCAAAGAGATAGAGCAGAGAGTCCCTGGAACTCCTCATCGCGAGCCTGGAGCTGAGCTGTGACACGCAGGACAGCTGCTTGGACTCTGACTTGTTGTCTGGCTGGTTTTCCCTGCTCAGCCTCGGATACCTTGGCATTCAGCTGGGCCAGCATTCCTCACCCCACCCTCCTTCGTGTGGGCAGGGTTCCTCACAGGTAATCTTGCAGGTAATCTCCATGAGCCCAGTTGAGTCCTGGGTCTTGACAGGGGGCTTGGGGCCCAGCTCCTGAGGATGGGTTAGGGCCTACAGCCTTTGCTTTTGATAGGATTTGTGTTTTGCTGGTCTCACCCTATCCTCCTCTCTGCATCTGTTCTAGTCTGAGTTTGGCCTCTTGATTTCTCTTCCCCTCTCCAACACATACCTCCCCAATACTCTGGGCCATGCATCTGACTGTCAGGCACACACACCGCTCCTTCCCACAGCCTTCTGCCATCCCGCTGTCCCCACTCGGTACCCCTCCTCCACCTCAAACACCTCGCTGTGTCCCAGTCCTGACTGAAGTAGTCTGGGTTGGCATCTGCCTTCTGCATCAGGCTGCGATATGCCCAGGGGCCTCCAGAGGCAGTTTGTGATGTTTGTGACGGTGAATGAATGAACCAACGAGGCAAACATCAAGAGAAACAGCAGAGAATCAGAGACAGGGAAAGAGAGAGGAGGAAGAGAAAGAGGAGAAAGAAGGAGACGCAGAGAGACAGAGAGAGAAGAGGGACACAGAAGAGAGAGCGCAGAGATGTGTATACACAGTTTACAGACAGACACACACAACCTGGCGTGACTGCATATAAATGGGGACACAGACCACTCAAAGGGCAATGGGACTGATGGGCAGAGCGTGCCCGCTGAAGGTGTTTAGCATTTATTAAACAAACGAGAGCATTTCCTTTGGCAGCACAAATATTAAGTATGATGATGATTTGATAAAGCAAAGGCGCTGATTGAGGCAGAGAAGAGGGAGCAGGCTGGCAAAGCTGGTGAGCTCGCTCAGCGCCTGGCAGGGCCCACGGAGATGGAGCAGCAGTGTGGCGTTGTGCGCGGCTGCTCCTTCTGGCTCTGCTCTGACAAAGTTGTGCTTCAGGCTTGCGAGGCACTGGGACAACCCTAGCTCATATCAATCTGTGGCTCTTCCACCCCTGATTTTATTTCGCATGGTTTTATAGGTCACTCACAGAGAGGTGAAGGATGGTCAATATCATCTTTTTGCAGTGTTGTAGATGGAACCCAGGATCTCATCCGCGGTAAGCATGTGCCCAACCACTGAGCTACACCCCGAGCTCATGTGGGAAATTCTGAAGCTAATTTTTAAAAGAATAAAATATTATATATTAATAATCATATTAAACATTGGCAAAATAAAAAACTCATCAGAGAAAGAGAGACCAGCAGACATCTGGAGGGGCCCTGTCACCTCTGCAGGCACAGACCCAGGTAGATGATCAGATGCCAAGCAGGTGGGACATGCAGGGCAGTGCCTCGGAGGGCTGCTGGAGCTGGGGCACCGATGCCAAACTGGGCTTCCTGACCTGTGCCCTTTGCTGCGTGGAGATGCTGCTGCCAGGGTCAGGCCCATTCACTATGCTGGGCGGGGTGGACACGGGGCATGTGCAGAGCCCTAGGACCACAGACTCCAGGGTGGACGGGCTTCCATTCACATAAGGCAGAGACTGAGAGGGCTCAGGTCCCCTTAGCTTAACAAAATCTTAGGCAAATAATAGTGGTGTTCTAAGAAAGAAACACAGGAAGAGAGAGAGAGAGATAGAAAGACACACAGAGACAGACACAGAGAGAGACAGACAGACAGAGAATAACCAAATCTCCAAATACATCATTTTAGTCATCATGATAGACCATTTCAACCTTTATCGGAAAAGTTATTTTGAGGGGATAAAGCAGGAGGGACATAGGTTTGAGCCTAACCTGGCCAATTTATGACTTAGTAATATTTTGTCTTAAAATAAAACTTGCTAGGGCTGGGGATTTAGCTCAGCGGCAAAAGCACCTGGATGGCAAGCACAAGGTCATGAGTTCGATCTCCAGTGGCTCCCCAACAAAAAAATCCTAATTCTAGCCCTCTGATCTCAATTTCCTAGAGCACGGCTGTGATTTGAATGTCTCTGAAAAGTTGACTGCGATGGAAACTTAATCCCCAAATTCGTACATGTGAATAGTTTTTGCAAGTGGGGCCTTCGGGGGTCATTAAGGTTAGATAAGGACACCAGGATTTATGAGGCGAAAAAGGCAAAGAAGAAGGATAAAGGAGGGGAAGGAGCGAAGAATGGAAAAAAGGAGGAGGAGGAGAAGAAAGAGGACAGGCAGGAAATGAAGGAGAAGGAGAAAGGAGGAGGAGGAGAGGGGGCAGGAGAGAGGAGCTAGCTGACCCTCTGCCTCGCCATGCGATGCCCCCCGCCATCTTGGGCAGCAGGAAGGCCTTCCCCGGCGGAGCCAGCACCATGCTTTGGACCTCCCGCCTCCAGAAACGTATGCTACGTGAAAGTCTGTTCTTTATAGATTTCCTGGTCTGTGTGGTATTTTTGGGTTGTAGCAACAGAAAAACTAAGACAAGCACTTACTGTAGAAAATGTTCCCTCCAGTGAGATGGAGGCGAGTCCTCTGCTGGCCAGGTTTCACCCTTGGGACGCCTTTCTCAACAACCTGCCAGCCACATCTGGGAGGTGGTGAAGAGAGACAGCGCCCCATTTCCCAGCCTGTGGGGAGGGTAGGCTAATTGCAGCACGCAATAGTGATCAGCTGGCGGAATCAACGAGGTAACCTTCTGCAATCTCATGAATAATTCCATATGCACACACATTCTGCGGACCAGCTCATCCAGTGCTGAAAAGCCCTCCTCCCGTGGTTTCAGGGCAATTGAGTCTAATTTCTCACCCCTGTGGCAAAATCTTAGGTAAGTCTCCTCTGCCTGTTTTACTTGGTGCGATTACCCTCTGACAGGAGACACCCAGACACGGCGGGCCCCACGGAGGTGCACCCTCTCCCCCTCAGCTTGCCCAATCTCTGCCCTTTCTGTGAAGTCTCATTCCCCACCACCTGTTTTGCATTCAGATTCTTGGGTCATCGATTCCTGCCCAGATTTGAGTTAGTGGGCAGGATGCAGCAAGGGGCTGTTGGAGCATGGGGTCTGTCCAGGAAGGAGGCTGGCTTCTCTGAAGCGCTCTAGAACGTGGAGGAGTTGATGGTCTCTGTGGTGATTCATACAGTAGCCAGAACAGCCTTGGGGTGTGTGTGTGTGTGTGTGTGTGTGTGTGTGTGACTCTGAAAATCTCCAGGTACCTTTGCAAACCCAGTCAAGAGCTAGGTAGGAAGTTCCCTGTTATGGGGGGCAGTAATTACAAAACGTAGTGTAACATAATTTCTGGGTTCATAGGAAGTACAGGGTTCCTCCTGCAGCCCTCCGCGGATGCAAGAGCCTGGCTCAAATCCCTGGCAATAAACACACTGTTCAGGACGTCATGGGCTTGGCTTGGGTTCCTCCATGAGGCCGGTATGGGTCCAGTGACCACTGCTAGTGTTAAAAGACAAAAATTACTCTAAACTTAATTTAAAGGTCTTGTGTTTATTTGCCATTCTGAAATTGTTAACACTGTGTCCCATTAACCAGAGCAAGGGCACCTGTGCACCGAACCAAGGAAGCTGACTTTACAGACAGAAGCATTAACAGAGACGAAAAAGCAGAGTGGTCACTTCACAAATATTCTTATTGTTATTTGGGGTACTACGGATTGATGGGGGCTTCACACTGAGCCCCATCTCCAGCCCCTTTTTATTTCTTATTTTGAGACAGGCCTCCCTAAGTCACCAGGTTGGGCTTGAACTTGTGATCCTCCTGCCTCAGTCTCTCAAAGTAATTTTCTTACAAATGTTAAAATAGCCTGTCATGCTGGCTAGAATGCTATATTTGGAAACTTGTCCCCCTGGCCCCATTTCTTGGAAGGTCAGACAAGTAACTTAATTTCAGGAGCGTGGACCCTCAGCATGGGCATGGGTGACCTCTCTTTGTTTGGCCACTTGGACCTAGTGCAGTAGCTCAGTCCAAACCAGTGACTTTCTAAGCACCTCACAATGATTCCAGGATCCAGGCTCCCCAGAAACCCAGAGATTCTGGGGTGTTTTTTGTAATCACTAGCTGTCAAACCTTAGTAATTGCTTAACAGATTGAAAGACACTGAAACTATTTTTTGGAGTCATTATGGTGCGTCATGTAGTATTGTAGGAAGTTTCAAAGGGAAGCAGATGTACAGAGAACAGTGTTTGAGTCATTCAGACCCAGAAGTTCAGAGCTGATCCTGTTTCCCCCTCCCCCTCTTCGGGACTCATTTGGTGTTAAACTGGGTGCCTGCATAATATTTTGTTCAAAATATTACTTTTGCTCCAAAAGCCAGGTGTATAACCTTGGCTTGTGTTCTAACATTAAATATTTATCAGTGTCATGAGTGATGTCTAAGAGGGTCACCTGCTACCTTGATTTTTTTTTTTTTGGTAAGGGTAGAGCATCAGGGGATCAAACCCAGGGCCTTCACATTGAGCTACATCCCTGGACCCTGTTTTATTTTATTTTGAGGCAGAGCCTCCCTAAGTTACTGAGTCATCCAGAGAGGACTCAAACTTGTGATTTGCTTCAGCCTGCCAGAGTGCCAGGATTACAGGCATGTTACTGCCATGTCCAGCGTGAATAGAATTCTTAGTGGTGTGATGCTTTTAATATATTCCAAAATTTATTAGACTTTTAAAAATAGAGTATTGGAACGATCTTTAAACTTTCAACATAACTGGAAAAAAATTTTTTGCTGCATTATCTTTTATCCAGCTTTAAAAACTGCAAAATAAGTAAGTGAGAAGGGAAACAGGTTAGGAGTTTCCACCTCAGACTCACATCCACCTGCCTTGTGGAGCACTGTCTGGATGCCCTCACCTGCCAGGCCCTGAACGTTCGCCTGATTCTGCCGAGCACCTGGCTCGGGACAAAGCAAGCTCAGAATGTGCTGTTACCTGTTGAGTCTGCGTGGTGCATACACTGTTCCCGGTACGTCTGCTTCAGTTTGGAAGTTTCTGCAGTAACACATCTAACACAGCACCAGAGTCCGAAGGCCCTAGATATGCTGTTACAGCCCCCCAGTTTCTATGCATGTCTCCCTTTCCACCACACTTGCAATACCCTGGCCTCTCAGAATATCTTCCCTCAGATTTACTTTTCGTAAGTAGATTATTGAATGTGTGAGTCATTTGTCTCTAGCTATGCCATTTAGTTGACAAAATACCACGGGGTTTACATATAGAAACAGATATAACCTGGACATCTAGTGTGTTAGTCAACTTCCCACTGGTTAACAAACAACTCAAGAATGATAGATAACTCCCAGGACAGAAAGTTTTTCTGGCTCATGGTTCCAGAGGTTTCCCCGTGGTCCCCAGGTTCTGTTACTCCCTGGCCTATGGCGAAGCAGAAAGTTCATGGTGGGAGGGTGTGGGAGAGAAACACAGCTCGCATCCGGGCAAGGAGGAAGCAGAAAGAGTGGAGGGAAGGTAAAGCTCCCAGAACCACATCCCGTGACCCATTTCCTTCCCCTAGGCTCAACTTCCTGTTTCTATTAGCTCCCAATACACCATCAAATCACAAATCTGGCAATGGATTAATCCATGAATGGAGTTAGAGTCCTCATAATGTGGTCACTCTGGCCTCTGAATATTGCTTTGAGGGGGAGGGCACATTCCAGACCTAAACCATAACTACTCAGCATAAGTTTTAGCCGAACTGTTTTCAGTACTTGCACATACTTTAGTAACAAAGTCACTTTGGCTATAAAGGAACAGAAACAGGGTGACAAGGGGAAGTTAGTGCAGGATCCTTCAGCAGTTCAGGAATACACGAGACTTTAGAACATACATTGTGGGAGCAGGGGTGACACACACTAATCCTGAATTTGTGTGTATTTATAAAATTTTATATATGTGTGTGTGTGTATATATATATATATATAATTTTTTTAAGGCAGGATCTCATGTGGTACAAGCTGGCCTTGAACTCATTTTTGTAGCCCAGGCTAGCCTTGAGTTCACAGTGATCTTCCTGCCTCAGCCTCCCAAGTGCTGGGATTATAGGCATGCACCACCATGACCACCTTTGATTGTACATATTTTCTAAAACATTATTAAGTTGGGCCTACAGCTCAGCGGCAAATGCAAGGGTTTGATGCCCAGTACCTCCCCCACTAAACCCCAAAAATTTATTAAGACAAAGTGCAAAGTTAGGTCAAGTTAACAAAATTTTCCCCAAATTTTTGTTTTTGTTTTTGTTTTTTGTCTTTTTCATTTTTATTGGTACCAGGGACTGAACTCATGACTGCCTGCTTGCAAGGCAGGTGCTTATGCCGCTGAGCTAAATCCCCAGCCCCCAAATTTTTCCAAAATTTTTAATAAAGTCTTTTAAACAAGTCTCAAAGTCTCCTATTTTCCAACGCCAACTCTAAAAACATTTGAATTTTATATCACACTATCATTTTGCAACTTACTTTTACCATACATGAAAAATTATTAAAAATACATTGATGGCTGTGTACTAATTGTGACTATATTTACAATAGGCAAAGTCTTTGACCAAGTTCCTTATATACAAACTACCACCCCTGCTCTGTAACAGTCATTAAAATGTTACTAACCACTGAAATGTCACTAGAAAGAATGCATTGGAAATGTAACTGTTTCCCATCATGAAGAAGGTTTCCAAATAACTAACTGAAATCTACTGAGTCTCTTGTGGTTCCAGTGGCAACAATTTCCTTCTGAATGCTGCCTGCTGGCTTCTGCCACTGACCTTGGAGCAAGCCTGCTCTGTGTGTCCTCCTGACTGGACCTCTTTCCACCGCAGAGCCAGGGCCCGTGCAGCTCTGTCCTTGCTTCCACAGCCGAGGCTGCTGAGTGTCTCCGTGGGCACAGCGTGAGGCACTGACCCGGCTTCCCTGAGTGTGACTTCCGCTGCGGCGCCTGGGATGTGTTGTGGAGCGCTTGCCCTCGTTCCCACTGGGATGAGAAGGCGCTGATGCCAGAAGACCTGTCCTTCTGCGTGCTGAAAGCAGCTGGTAGATCTTCACTCGCTCACTCTTCAGGCTGCTGGTTCCTGAAAGGTTTGGGATCATTAACTTGTATCCAACACTTGGCTACTTTCTGGGCGCCTTCTGGTGCATTCCGGTGCATTTTGCAAGGAAGCCTGTTAGGACCAGCAAGTGATGCCTGATACAGTCTCCACTGGGATCTGTTCTCCTACCCAAACCAACAGGGCAACTGCAGTGAAAAACTATTGGAACAAGGAATTACAAATAGCTACATCCAACTTGCAGCATGTATGCTCTGCTCTGCATCAAGCAAGTAATTCCGCAAGTGCCTTCATTCTCTCTTCCCAGCGAACCCACAGGTCCCGAGCACGTGTCTGCCTAAATGGTGAACCCTCTTGGGGAAGCTGAGTCAGGATGGCCACATCCATGCAAAGCCTGTCTGGTCTTCTGCCCACTTGGCCAAAGCCTTGGGATTCTTATCCCGGTGAATCTATCCAAACACAGATGGGTTTCCTTCTATTTTACCAAAGTGTGGCTTATTTGTTGCTGCTGTA